TTCCTAGTAAAGCAGGTTCTTGTCAGTTGAGGGATAAGGGAAAAAAATATATCACACCTCAACAAAGTTTTCACAATATATATATATACATGCACAGCATACCTAATAAAACCCATGTATTCCTGCAGACTCAGACTCCCACTCATCGCCGCTAACTAGAAGCCAAGAAAGGCCTCTTCGCAAATGCCATCCAGAACTTGTTTCCGGTGCCGTCCTTCTCTGGAAAAAGAAAAACCTTCTCAATGAGACGTGCGTTGGCCTCCAATCGAAGCTGTTTTGCATACTCTCGCCATTTTTCTTGCTCCTCCTCATTCCCAGCAGGGAAAAACGCGTTAAACGGAAAGTCCTTTTCCCCTGGCGATGAAAACGGCATCGTAGTGTAGTTAAGAAGCACAGAATGGGCCTCTTCACGCTTCAACTGGACAATTTTCTTCAGACAGTCATGAAGGTATATCGTCAAGTACAGAATGACACGATCACCAGCACCCTTAATGGGAAAATTACGAAAAAACATGTGGGGCTTAAAAAAGTAGAATGCCTCGTCAACAATGTCTTGTGGCTCCTCTTCGCCCTCCTCAATCATTTCATCCATCCGCGGTGCAGGGCCGGGTGGAGTGAGCCGTGACGTGCGGCGAAGCGGATAAACACCGCAGCCCAAAAGACTGCTTTCTTCATACCCATTCCACCTGCTGTGCATCTCCAAGAAGTTCAACCAAAACTAATTTCAAGGAGCAATGCACAAAACACAGCATGAGAAAAACAGCAAAAACAACAACATAGGAGCAAGAAACCCACGAAAACACGCAATTTAAAAAGGCGTCCAAGAAAAAAAATAATCATCAGTGCAAGACCAAAAACTTAATGTCCTTCGGCCACATAATAAGCAATAAAACGTACGTATTTGGGCAACCGCCTATCAATCAGCACGAAACCTTTCGGTATTCTTCATAACATTCTTACGAAGAAGATCATCAATCTTTCCTTCCTTCGACTCCATTTCAAGCTCGCGTTGGTGCCTCCATACACGCATCTTCAAGCCATCCTCCTCAATGATCCTTTGCAGCTCATTCTGATTGTATGGATACTTGTCAAAGTAACCTGTCCGCATCATCCCACTTCTATACCGATCCACATAATACATCACCTCACCTCTCCCCAATCTTTTGTAGCAATCAATAGGCTCCGATCCCTTTTTAGAACGACTGCAACGCCACAGCAGCCCAGCCAGATGCAGCTGCACAACCAAAGAATCCATGTTTAAAAAAGACGATAGCAAGTCATGAAAACGATCATCACATCGCCAAGGCCTCATCCCATAATATATGCTGCGGCCCGTCACAACATTAATAGACTCAGCCGCATCTGCCACACGAGAATAGTGTGGAGATTCTTCCATCACAACACCACACACACAAGAATTCCTGATAATACAAATAAAAACCTTTTAAAACAACAACAAAAAAAAAATAAGTAAATAAAAACCACAAACACAATAAATCCAGTCAAACACCACCCCAGCCAATAAAAAAAAATAAAAAAAATCCCAAACAAAAAAAAAGATACACATATAAAAAAAAATTAAAGAAAAAAAACATATACTGCCAACACCCTACAGCTTGTCAAGGAAGGTGTCCAGCGGCGGAATGTCCGGTTTCAGGCCCTTGCGCTGGCGCACACTCAGCGTCAGTGTGTTGGCCTGCGACTTCGGCTCCAGCGGGTCGCCCGGGTACTGTTGCCAGTGGTCAAACACACACTGCGGGAACGCCTGGCCGCCAGTCCCGGCGCGCAGGTCGGCGGTGAAGCCAAACGACTCCGCGACAGGGAGGTACGCCCTGACATTGTAGATGGGCGTGCCGGGGCGATTCTCCTCGCCGATGATGACACCGCGGCGGCGCGTCAGCACATTGTAGATGCCGCCCACCGCGTGCTCCACCGTCTGGATATCAACCTGGAACATCGGCTCCATCAGGCGTGGCGCAGCGGTCAGGCAGCACGCGTAGAACACACGGCGGGCGGTGGGAATGATTTGGCCACCACCACGATGAATGGCGTCCGCGTGCATCGTCACGTCCTCCACGTTGATGCGCACGCCACGCATGTTCTCGTCGCACAGCACACCCTCGCGCGTCGCCCACTGCCACGCCGCAACGAACGAGTCCTTCATCTCCGACATGTTCTGCACTCCCTTCGTCACGTCCACAACAACATTGGGGCCGCGGTTGTCGGGACCATAGCACCAGATCTTGCGCGCTTCTGCAACGTCCCAGTCAAACTTGTCCGCAAGGAAGCGGGCACGCACCTTCGGGTCGGCCTCCGAGCCGGCGTTCAGGCCTTCCTCCATCTCGACGCACAACTCCTCCGTTAGCGGAGCACCGCGGCAGAACAAACGGTTATGCTTGTTCGCGGACTTGGAAAGACACTGGATCGACGACACATCCGTCACCGTTTCACGGAAGGACACAACAGGCTCCGACACCTTCAGTGGTGCGCCGTTCATAAAGTCTTCCTGTAGGTCCTTGAGGCAGATCTCCAGGTGAAGTTCGCCAGCGCCGGCAACAATGTGTTCGCCACTCTCCTCAATCGTGCACACGACAAGGGGATCAGACTTCGAGAGGCGCTTCAGACCCTCGACAAGCTTCGGCAGGTCGGAGGGGTTTTTCGCCTCCACCGCAACACGCACAACGGGAGACACCGAGTACTTCATGTCTCGCAGCGGGTGGGGGCTCTCGCCGTCGTCCGTGATGGTGGCGGATTTCACAATGTACTTGTCAACACCCACCAGACCAACAACGTTGCCGCACGGCATGTCCTCCACTGCCTCCTGGTAACGACCCATCATCAGCACCGTGCGCTGCACCGGCTTGTCCTCGTACAGGTCCTGCTTCTTGCCAAAGACGTAGTTGTTGCCCATGATACGCACCTTCTGCCCACTGCGCACCTTGCCAGCAAAGATACGACCGAATGCAAAGAAGCGGCCGCGGTCCGCCGTCGGCACCATCTTGCTGATGTACAGCATCAGCGGCGCCTCTGGGTCGCAGTTCTTTATGCCAACGTAGTACTTGTCGTCTGGACCAGACTCCCCAGAGTACAGCATCTCCGCACGGTAGCTCTGCGCCTTCTTGGGCGAGGGAAGGTGTGCGACAATCATCTGCAGCAGCGTCTCCGCAGCAGGCAGAAACTTCATCATAATCGACTTCAAGAGCTTCTTGGGCACCTGCTCGCGCTCGTCCGCCGTCAGGCTGATGTTCAGCGACTTCAGCATCTTGTCCACCTTCTCCTGCTTCTCCGTCATCACGGCATCAAAGATCTGGTAGATAGGGTCAAGGCAAAACTGGCAGAAGGCGCGGCGCACGCGTTCCCCGGCAGCATTTGTCTCACTCTTGATCCACTTCTTGTTCTTCGCGTCAAAGAAGTTGTCACCCCACAGACGCTCGCACATCTTCGCCTCGTCAACACCAAACTTCGCCGCGTACATCTTGGCAAAGCGAGTGACAGAAAAGGCCCACGCCTGCAGGCCGGAGCCGATGGCAACGGTGCCCTTCTCGGGGTACACCTGCACGTCGCCCATCACAGGATCGTTGTACGTAGAAATCACGACATTCACGTTCTGCAGCGTCTTCACGAAGCCCTGGTACGCCTCCTCGGGGTCCAGCTGCAGCTCCAGGATGGCGCGGTCCACCTTGTTGATGAACACAACAGGGCGGATACGCTCCGTCAGTGCCTGGCGCAGCACCGTCTCCGTCTGCACACACACACCCTCCACGCAATCGACAACAACGAGGGCACCGTCAGTCACACGGAGTGCCGCGGTCACCTCGGAGCTGAAGTCCACGTGCCCGGGAGAGTCGATCAGGTTGATCAGGAAGTCACGCTTGTCGTCGGGGAGGTCGGCGATGATCTCCGGCGGCACGTGGTAGTGCATGGAAATGGCGGTTGACTTGATCGTAATACCACGCGCAATCTCGTCGGCACGGGTGTCCATGATGCGCTTGTCACCGGCATCCTCCATCTTGATGATACCGGCAGCCCCCACAAGCGAGTCGGACAACGTCGACTTGCCGTGATCAACGTGTGCAATCACGGACATGTTGCGGATCTGTTCGGGGTAGTCCATGAGCGCACGGACCTCATCAACGGTGAAGTTTACCATCTTGAATAGCTTAAAGCAGC